TGAATGCCCTGCAGGTTTGAATGCCCTGCAGGTTTGAATGCCCTGCAAAAGACAAAGCCTTTGCGAACATGTGACATGCACTTGACTGTGTTTTTTTAGCCTTAGCATCTGCTATGTTACAGAAACATGTTTCAGTGCACTAGTCTAACTCAGAGATTTCAAATATTTTCAATATTCTTTTGACAAGGAGAGTGTTTTTTAATTAATAAAGTGCCTGTGGAAATAAAAATCCAAAAGTTGCCTGCAAACGTAAATAAAGCATATAAAACCACAGCCCATACTTGAAGAGAATGGGTGCTAACTCAGTAAATGTAGAGAATAGCTGCTCAATGGTGGTAAACGTTGATAGGATTCAAAGTTTGAGAAAAGAATATTATGTTTCTTTTGAGAGTTTACTGTGTTAATTAAACTTCTACTGTTTCTGCTTGGGCCTTAACTCTGTAACTTAGTTATCTTTAAAGAAAAATAAGTTCCTTTGAATTATTCTATTTCAAATGCTTGTTTTAATGACAGTCTTTACTCTGATGGGGATTTTTGTTTGTTTGTTACATGGAGGGGTTTTTTACCTGTTAAAAGTAAAGTCACCAAATGCTGTGATTACTCAATTTGAGGTAAAAGAGTTTGAAGAATGTTTTTTCTTTAAGTGCAGAATTCAAGGGAGGATGGGTTTTATTACACTGATACTAGGACTGAGGAAGAATGATTTCCATGGGAAGCATTATAGTGCTAAAACTTGTATATGTAGTTATTTGGGGTAAGCAGAATATTAGTACTCGCATATTGTTTTGCTGTTAGTTTTATGCTCTATAAAGAGGCTATTTAGTACTAATTTAAATTGAAAAAATGGATTTTAATGTTGCAATAGCTATTATTTTAACATGAAACATCCATTTATATACTGATATGCTGGAGTAAAATATACATTTGATCAGTAACTTCAATTAAAAATATGAAAGTAATCTTATTTTTATCAAAATTAATTTGGAATTTAATCTCTGGACAAGCTTGAATTGGTCGTATGCCACTGAAACCAATCTTTCAATTGCATACAGAAGGAAGGTAGGCTTTTTTTTTTTTTTAGTCTAGTGTAACTTCTTGACTAGACTAAGAGGGAAGTGAGACTAGATTACTGTTCTATAAAGAAAATGGGCAAAACCAGTAATGTGTTTCAGCTGTGCTGAATAGCTTAGCTTCTTATTTTCACATTGTGGAATTTAAACTTTTCTTGAGACTCAGATTTAAGATGTCTTTAGTTCAGCTAAATTTTCACCTGTTCTTTTTATATTTTTTCTAGTAGTTGCATTTTATTGGTGTACATTGTAATTAACCACTGAATTTCTGCCAAATATATATATATAAAAAAGATGCATTCTGTTCTGCTACTTTAAATCTGTGTTCTTAGTTTTTTTATTTTGTTTAATCCATGGCTAGTAAAATGTCCATTAGCTGTTTAGATTAAAGAGACAGTTGCCTTAATTGCTTGGAAGAAAGCTGACCTTGACCATTTGAAGCTTTATGTATTTCTAAAATTCCTGTAACTTCTGTAAAATTGCAATAAAACCTTTTTAATACAGTTCAGCCACTATTTTATGAGCCACTTGTCACTGTCTTTACGGAATGCTTAACTATTTAAAAAGAAGTTTTTTAACAACACTGTTTATAGTGGATAAACACCTCTTGTTCCCTGTGATTTTTTATTTTTGGGGGGATCACTTTAAAGATGATGTACTTGTGTTTTGCCCACAGTGCTCTTCTCTTTTAGTGAGGGGGTACCAAGAACACTTCCTAAAATCGCTGATGCTGCAGCAAATGGCTTGGAACACCATACAGTAGCATTTTCAACATCTGATTATCTTTGTAGGGATTACATTTCGTTGTTGATCAGCAGGAAACAGTGCACCAAGGTGTATTCTACAGAGCGAGGGAAGTTACCCTGAAAACCAGTTGGGGGTAGGTCTGGGTTTTTGGGGGGGGTTGAGGTGTTTGGGTGATGTGTGTGTGGAGGGGTGGTGTCTGTGGGGTTTTTTTGTTGTTCGGTTTTTTTTGTTGGTTGGTTGGTTGGGTTTTTTGTTTTATTTATTTATTTGTGGGAAAGAACTAAAATTATTTTTCCTCTAAACTTAAAATTCACGTCTGATAAACCTCTCTGCTGTTCTGCGTTTGCCAAGCAGTTGCTTTAACCTAGAGCTGAGACGTTTCTGGGTTAGTCCTCGGTTATGAAAACAGAACATTTTGGTCTATTACTTAGAACTCCTAGCTTTTCTATTGGGGAATAAGGGTCATCTGTATTTCGTTTCCTTCTAAACACCACTAAAAATGGATGCTTGCGGAAGGAGCGTTTGAAAGCAAGTCCTATGAGGTTGTGGGGAGCACTCCCCCCCCCCCACTTAGCTGAACATGTGTGCTTATGTTTAATGACATCTTTTAAACTTGGACTGTGTCCAAGCACCGAGCCAGCTTTTGACCGCTGAAGGCGGTGTCGGTACCGGAGCCCGGCCCCGCTCCCCGCCCACAGGCCCGGCGGGACGGGGTCAGGGCGCCGCGGGCCTCGCCTCCCGCCCGCCCCCGCCATCTTAAACCGCTACTCGCCGGCAGCGGGGCCAGCGCGCCGGTCCCACCGCCCGGGGAGATGGCGGCGCCGGGCACGGCGGCTTGGACGTGGCTGCTGCGGCCGCCCACCGCCACCGAGCTGCTGCTGGCGGCCCTGTGCTGGCTCGGCTGCTACTGGCTGCTGCGGCGGCGGCCGCGGGCGCTGTCGGGGCTGCCGCCGGGCCCCGCGCCCTGGCCGCTCGTGGGCAACTTCGCCTTCGCCCTGCTGCCGCCGCCGCTGCTGCGCCGGTGGGCGGTGGAGGTGCGGGACGGCGGCCGCGTCTCCCCCGCCTTCTCTCCGCACGTCTTCCTCACCGGCCTCACAAAGATATACGGCAGCGTCTTCCGCCTCTTTGTGGGCAGCCGCCCCTTCATCGTGCTCAACACCTTCGAGGCGGTGCGAGAGGCGCTGGTGCAGAAGGCGGAGGTGTTCAGCGACCGGCCCTCCGTGCCCATCGTCCTCATGATCACCCATAACAAGGGTAAGCGCCCGGGGGCGCCTCGGCGGGTGTCGCTCGGGGAGCTGTCGCACCCTAATGGATGGCCAGGGCGATGATACCCAGCGGGAACTGCGAGCGGGGCTCGTGGCTGCTGTGCCAAAATTTATTAATAACTACTGTGAATTGCAGAGCGAACCATTTACTTGCTTTTTGCTCCTAGCATGTGTCCTTCACCCTGCTGCTGACCGAAAGCATGCAGAGAGAAACTCGCTCTCCCTTGAGGTGAACATGCAGCATCCCCGTGAACTGGGCAGTGCTGTGCTGTGCACCACAGACCACCTCTGGATGACCGAAATGCCTGATCCCTTTAGCTCTGTTCACAGTAAAGGAACCGGGGAGTGGCTGAAGGAGCTAGGGTTGTTTAGCCTGGAGAAGAGGAGGCTCGGAGGGACCTTATCGCTCTCCCAGCTACCGGAAAGGAGGTTGTAGCCAGGTGGGAGTTGGCCTCTTCTCCCAGGCAATCAGTGGTAGGACAAGAAGATATGGTCTCAAGCTGCACCACGAGAGGTTTAGGTTGGACATTAGGAAGAATTTCTTCACAGAAGGAGTGATTAGGCATTGAAATGGACTGCCCAGGGAGGTGGTGGAGTCACTGTCCCTAGAGGTGTTTAAGGAAAGACTGGATATGGCACTTAGTGCCATGATCTAGTTGACGTGGTGGTGTTCAATCACAAATTGGACTCAATCTTAGAGGTCTTTTCCAACCTAATTGATTCTGTGACTGGCATTTCTGCTGGTCTGTCATCTAGGGCCTTTCTGATTTTGACTGTGTCGGGAGAAGAAATTTCAAAACTTTGGCAGTGGTACGAAACTGAGCACTTTCCCAGTTCTTCCCAAGGTAATGATGGCAAAGAGCAGGTTTCTGTGGAGTCCTGTAGCTGCGCAGTCTGTGCTGCCTGTGTGCAAGCTACTGTTGCTGAGATGTTTGCAGGTGTATTATTCTGCTTGTCAGAACTTATTGAGTATATTTGGGTTTGTGTTTGTTTGTTTGTTTGTTTTTGTGGTGGTGTTGGATTTTTTTGTTTTTCATTGGGTTTCTTTTACAGGTCAAAGGAGAGTTTACTAGCTTTTGCAAGAAGAGGGCATGGAGAGTGTAAACACATATTGGCAATACTGCAGTTAGAATTTCTTCATGTTTAGTTTTTAGGTCATTATGGATGTCGGTGTTTGTGGAAAACTGATTTTCCATTTCCATTTAGGAAGTGTAGCCCAGAAGGCTTGTTAGTGTGCTAGCTTGTTGTGAAACTTCTCTTTTTTTATTTTTTACCAACTTATCTTTGACTTGTTGTTGGGTTTTGTTTTGGTTTTGGTTTTTTTTTTTAGTGAACCAGAATTACCCTTGTGAGGATAAGAGGAAAACGAGAGACCTATATCATGTTTATTAAAATGTGATCAGGTACCATTGCTGAAATTGGTTTAAAAAATAAAAAAATAAATTATATTGATCTGAGATAGTGTGCCAGTAATATCTATCATGTGTGAGTATTTTTAGGTACAGTACTTTTAGCAAGAACTGGGGGAGGAAAGGGGAAGAGGAGTTAGATAATTTTAGCGGTGCTGTAAAACTGCATGTTTAGGCTCATGGTGGATTTCTTTTTCCTTAAATACCGTGTATTTCGTGTTTCATGTTCTCTGACAGGCTTTTTTGAACATGGTGCTGCAAGGTTAGCAAGGGCAATTAGCTGCTTTCACTAGTGACTGTTCCAGGGAAGTTGAGTGTGTAAGGAGCCTGTTGTCCAGAGCCAGAGCGTACTGCAGCCAAGTCCAGGGACTGTGCCTGCCTGTGTTGTGCTGCAGCAGGGACATTACATTGCTTTACATTTAGTTTTATCTGGAAGGTCACCGTAACTGCGCTCAGGCACGAGGACTGTTACATGAGGGCTGCCCAGTGGTCCATAAAACATCCCGATCTCATGTGTAGTGCGTATGTTCACTGGTGCAACACGTTGAATTGCCACAGACGTGAGAGTGTTGTAGAATGAACCACAGGGGTGGTGTATTTTGAATATGCAAAGGGAAAAGTCAGTGAATGTGGGCAGTGTGGGCTGCCGGTTCTCCAAAAGCCAGTGGAAGTTACAGGTGCTCTCACTGGGCTGACTTGGGTTTAGTGGTAACATGAAGGAGATGACTGAACATCTGTGATGCTGCATTTGTGCTAACTACTGTTTCTTTTTTGTCTGTGGTTCATGGAGGAGGGCAATGGGTTACGACACTCAAACTGGAGGCCTCTGAAGGTTGGTCTGGGAGCCTCCTGATCATAGGTTCAGGAGTTTGTGGGTGAGACTTTACTGCAGGTCAGGACAGAGGCAGTTGTGTTAGTATGTGCTAGGAAAGGAAATGATAAAAGCAGGATGATAGGTAACTTCAGATCTGCTGGTCACAGTTTGGGTACTACAGCACTGGGATGCTTTGAGTCAGTAAGTGTTCATTTTGGGTTTCTATATCTTTGTTCTGTAAGCAAGCTACAGGGTATGAACTTACAGGGCTATTTTCTTGTAAGCTACATTTTCTGTTGCAGTTTTGTCTTTACCCTGAGCTGACCTGCCGGGTATGGTATGGAAGAAAGCAGGGCTTATCTCAGCTTTGTGGCTAGATTGTGTGTAACATTCAAATGGAATATTGTGCCTGGGGGAGAGCAAGCAGAAGTATCAGAAATGGCAGATACTGTATTTCAACGACTTGATTAGTAAAGAAGAGAGACCTCCTTGGCTGGATGGGAAGTGCCATGAGAACTTAAGGGAGAAGGTAGAAGTTAAGTCTTAATTGAAGGCTTCTGCACATACATCTGTGGGAAGAGAAATACTAGACTGGGGGAAAATCTAGATTTTGGTGGCTTTGTTTTAGTAAAGCGTTTTTGTATTTTATATCTATGAGAAGTAGCAGTGACTCAATCTCTAGAGTGGATGGAGTTTGAGTGGTTGTCTGCCATTTTAGCCCTGCCCTGTGCACATCTAGATGTGGACATCTGACAACACAGAAGTTAAGTGTTATTAAAGGTCATGAATGCTGTGTTGGTCAATGCTCCCAGTATTGCAGTAACACTAAAGCTAGCAGAAAGAAATGGGAGGGAGGGAGAGTAAATTAGCCTTTGCCAGAACTTGCTTCTTATAAGGATTTGAATTTTTTCATGTAAAAAAGAAGAATAAAATGAACTCTATGAGTTTGTTGGTTGTATTGAAAGGTTTTCATTATCAGTTCATAGAATTAGCCTTCTGTGATGAGCATGAAGTCCTGGTTATTCTTATTGCTCCATTACTGTATTT